GATGAGGAAATGCAAGGGAATTGGGAGGAATTTTCAGTCTTAGTGACTGTTACAACGGCCACCAAACTTTTTCCGAGTGGACAATGCCACCTCCGATAGTCTCTTGTTCTGGCTACTTCTTACTTACGCTCCCAAAACAATGGAGCTCACAGAACTTACAGAAGTACGCTTGTAATCCCCCTAGTCTATCACCTGGGTGCTAGTCGGCTCCTTCTAATAGACACAAACGTCGTACGCCTCTTCTTATCTTACCGCCACCTGTATGTATCACAGCCGTCCATCTCCGTCTGTCGCCACAGCATTGAGGATGCCCATGGGCCATTTGCCGCGTATTGTGGTTTCAGATGCTATCAATATGATGTCGCCTGATTTGAAATTGCGATGCTTCGAAAGCCACTTTTGTAGCACTTGCAGGGTTGGTATGTACTTTCTCATCCATCAACGCCAGAAGTTATTAGCAAAATGATTGACTTGTCTCCACCGTCTTGTATAACTCTTCATCATTGTGAGACCTTTAAGGTTCTGATCGTTCTCCGTCAACAACAATATACTGTTCGGAGACAGTGCTCTTCTTTCCTTATCATCCGATAAGCACGGCACAAGCGATCGGCTATTCAATATCCTTTCAAATTCTACAAAACAAGTTGACAACGTTTCCTCATGCATTAACTGCTCCTTCGTCAACACAAGCAGTAACCTGCGCACGGAGCGGATCATTCTCTCCCATACGCCCCCCCCCCCCTATAACTTGAGGAAGAAGGGTTGAAGTACCACTTTATCCCATCACATGCAAAACTGTCGTTGATCTTGTGTCTATCCCAGCGTTTAGTTGTATCCTTTAGTTCTGATACGGCACCCATGAAATTTGACCCGTTATTACTATAAATCTCTAAAGGTCTTCCTCGTATACCGATGAATCTTAATAGACACAGGATAAACGAATCTGTATTGAGACTGCCCGCTATCTCTAAGTGCACGGCTCGTGTCTGTAAACAAGTAAATACGCAGCCGTATTTCTTTTCCAAACCACGACCACTGCGAACAAACAGAGGTCCAAAATAATCAACTCCTACTGAGTTAAAACAGCACCAACCCTTTTTAACCCTACATAGCGGTAGGGGAGCCATCATCTGCTGACCTGCAGAAGCTACCATTTTCCGACATACTACGCATTGACCTATTACTCACTTCACTGCACTGATTCCCTTGACAATCCAATATTTTTCACGGATTGCTGAAAAAACGTGTGACGTACCACTATGTTCTTCTCTGCTATGATAGTGGCGAATAGTAAGATTAGTCACATGATGTCCATTGGGTCGGATCAACGGATGCTTGGAATTGGATGAGTAGTTTGCGTAACTAAGTCGCCCAACCACACAAAACAAGTCATTTATGGTAACTGGACAATGCTTCCTCAAACAATGCACCATGTCTCCGTTTCGTGCTCCTTGAAGTTTTGCCTGTAATGCTGATTCACCGAATGTTTCATTTTGCACCATTCTTTAAATCTTCCACTGAGCTGCATCCATTTCTTCTACCGTGAGATTTCCTACGCTCAGGGTACTTTCGTTTCTAGACGAATACATAATTTTAATGTAAGAGATGAAACGAATAATCCATGCAACTGATTTAAAGGTTTTGACCATTAAGAGTAACGATGCAGAAGCTGTTCTAGTTTTATCGACAAAACAGCTGTGTTCACGCGTACTACAATTTGCTTCATCTCTACGCAATCCGGTGGGTACGATAATGAAGATAATGCCTGTAAAGCCTAGTTTTGTAAGAACATCGGCCCCCCTAACCATGTCCCTAGTTCTCTTCTTGTTGATATATCTCTCGAAGTAAGGTCAGCGATATTTTATTCGAACTAAATGTGACGCCATTGGGACACCGAGAAGTATTGATGGATGATTGATAACCGATTGGCAACGAATGTACTAAAACGTGTTGAAGTATTTTCTATATAATATTTGAAAATCATTGAATCCGTCCAGTACCACACCTCGCTGAACATCCTTGATAGAGCCCTTTTCATCGACTCTCCTATCTTGATTCCGTGGACTGCCACAGACAGTTCCAGTCGTGGTATGGTTACGGGTTTGATAGGTGCCACTCGAGACTTACTGAAAAGTAAAACGCTGTAAGTTGATTTTCTTGCTGGAACGCACCACGCGTAGGTGACGGCCCCATAACCTGTCTCGGATGCATTACAGAAAACATGCAACTCTGTTCTCCCTCCTTCTTCCCAATCTTCGTTTCTAATACTTCTTGGGATCATAATCACTTCTAGACGCCTAACAAAGCGTACCCAGGTTTCCCAAATAATGGCTTCTACAGCATTGAGAGGTTGGTTCCAACCCATTTTGGATTTAAACAAGGTTTGCAGCAACTGCTTTGCCGGGAGGCATAGAGGAGCTACCAGACCTAGCGGGTCAAACCACGAACTGATGTTGCATAATATACATCTCCTTGTCACCGGCTTATCTAGTAGCTGGAACTGGAACGCAAAAACATCTCGTGTTGTGTCCCACTGCAGGCCCAAAGCTCTCTGACAACTGGAATCAAATTGAGGCAGTTGAACCAGTTTGGTACTTGTGCTGTCTTCCGAGATGGATTTTGCATGTTCGGGTGAGTAAGATGACCACCTTCTCAGTTTAAAACCACCTCTTCCCAATAGTTTGGTTATTTCCTTGGCAAAACGTAAAGCTTCATCGCATGTCGTAAACGACGCAAGATAGTCATCAACGCAGAAGTTTTCTTCTATGGCTTTTAGCACCGCACGCCAATAACCACTACCGAATTCTCTTGCGGCCCTGTTCAAGGCAAAATTAGCACAAAACGGTGAAGAAGTTGCACCAAACGATTGAGCTGTCATTTGATATTCATCTGGATCCTTGAGTGGGTCAGTCTGTGGCCACCAGAGATATCTCAATGCGCCCCTATCATGTTTTGGTACCTTCAATTGCATAAACATCTCTTCTGTCAGCTGTAACAGCTACACGTTCTTTACGGAATCGCAAAGGTATACTCATTAAATTCGCGGTGGTGTCTTGACCTTGATAGAGCATGTCATTCAACATTTGCCCCTTGTGTTTTGCCGCACAATCCAAAACTATACGCAGCTTTTCCGGCATTTTGGTTTTAATAGCGCATGATGAGGCAGGTACCAACGCGGATGAAAGTCGCATTGTAACTGTTCCCCTGGGACTGGCACGGCATTTCCCTTCTCTATAGTCATCTTCATCGTTTGTGTGTAGCGGAACCGTAGCGACTCGTCATTAATTAAGCGCCGCTCCAGGCTGTTTAGCCTCGAGAGCGCTGACGCATAGTTTCCCATATCGGTATTGACACCCTTCTTCCATGACAGAGGGACCACGAAGTGCCCACCGACAGACATTGTACCGGACTCTACAATAGCGATAGCCTCTGTGTCGTCTACGGAAATGCCTTGATCTAATAACCGGGCGTCTGTATATTCTGCATCGTACATTCGCATTAACTGATGCATTAAATTTGAGTCTTCTGCAGCCAAGCAGTTGACCGATTGCATTTCATACGATGCGAAGCTTGAAGGTCCAAAAATCACCCAACCTAACAGCGTCCGAACTGCATAAGGATTCTTTCGACCACCGAGCCTTTGATCAAGTACCCAATGCGCCTCCGGTATATCACACCCAATTAATAAAAGAACTTCTCCATCAAAGTATTCTACTGAAAAGTCTGCCAAATTGGGCCATTTTTTCATCCTTTCAGAGATGTCTGTAACCGGCTCA